CAGGGATGCGAGAGCAAAAACCCTTGGGTTTAGGGTCTCTACCTTTACACCTCCGTGGGAGGGCCCCGTCAGGGCGCCATGGTGGCGGCAGTCGCCCAGCTTTACCTGGGCTCCATGACGTTCTTTGCCGCTCGCGAAGCTCGGGCAGCTTCGGGCTCCGCGTGGCGGTTGTCGAGCCCTCAGCTAAGACTTTGGGGTTTAGGGCTTTATTCATGCAAATCTCTCGTCACGCGCTTGGCTTTGGGGTATAAAGGGCCTGTGTTCCTAAGGGTGGTTCTTAGGGTTTAGAGGCGATCCTTTCTTGATTGGATGCGTATAAGGCATCTTCATAGGATGGGTTTAGGGTTTAGAGGTAAACCTATAATGCTACGATGGGTTTGGGGATTAAGGTTTAGAGGCGACCCTATCTTCACAGGAAGGGCGTTGGGTTTGGGACTTAGAGGGAATCTTATCTTCATAGGAAGGGTTTAGGGTTTAGGCGTTCAGGCTGTATAGGCAGCTCCATCTTTACAGGATGACTCTCGGGTTCAGAGGTACTGCTATCTCTTCAGGATGGCTTTGGGGTTTACGCTTGTGACGAAATTATATCTTCATAGGGTTTAGGGTCAGGGTTTAAAGGTGATCCTACCGCTTCTGGTGCTCTGGAAAAGTGGGGGCCACAACGTCAGCTACGGCCAACGGACTCTCATTGGCAGCAGCACTACCCTCTGCTGCGGGCTCAGCATCTCAAGCCCTACCTAGACTCCCAAAGTATGTAAAATAATAGCCCTAAACCCATAATAATAACCCGAATGGCCATTATTTCACATACTGTTGGGGTTCAGGTAGACCTTAACCTGCTTGGGCTTCAGGGTTTAGGCGTTTAGGGTTTGGGTTAAAGCTTTAGGCTTACTACACTCAGAAGATTGCTGGGCTGTCATAGGGTGGGGGGAGTATCCAAGCAGCACATGAGCTACGGACTAGGTTTAGGCTGGAGGGGACCTATAGGGGACGTTTTTGGGGGGGACCTTTTATACGAATATATGATATACTACACATTTAGTCCAGGCGTTTTGGGGGTGCTGGAGTGACCAAAACCTTTTTTGACAATTACAAATTTCAACAGTAGCAAACACAGCACCTCGGATGTTCACGAACAGTCATGGGCACCCTAGCCCGCCTGACATACTACGCCTTGCCCCTTACTTAACCTCAGCTTGGCCCTGCATAAATCCAAGTTTTCAAGCGTAAAACTTAAACCCCAAACGCCTAATCCCGAAACCCTACCAACAGGTGGGTTTGCCTGGTGGGGAAGGGGGGTAGGCAACCCATAGCACACACAGAAGCTGCAACTTCTTGCCCTAAACCCTAAACCCTAGAAGACGCCAGTAAGGGTTTAGGGTTTAGGGGTTCAGGGCTTCTGGTTTAGGGCACCTGGCAGACCGTCTCGTCGACACTAATTAGGACCCGACCTCTACACCCAAAAATCCTCCACGGTGTACATTCAAAATTCCTAAACGTCTTAACCCTAAACTCTCATGAATGAACCCTTACTAAATGCCTAAAGCCTTCAACCCTTATCCCCTTCCCAGAAAGTCCATGTACCCAATAATTAGGTACTTGGGTTTTGGGTAATAATAATTATAGTACGGGTTTTGGGAAGAATATGATTATAAAGAACTTGGACCCTTACGGTCAGCCCTAAACCCTAAACCCCGCAAAACCCAAAACCCCAAACCCTAAACCCCCAAAACCCAAAACCCTATCATAAACCCCAAACCCTAAACCCTAAACCCTAAGCCCTAAACCCCCAACACACAAAACCACAAACACCCAAAACCCAAAACCCAAAACCCGAAACCCCCAAAACCCTAAACCCCAAACCCTGAAGCCCCAAAACCCAAAACCCCCTAAACCCTAAACCCCCTAAACCCTAAACCCCCTAAACCCCCTAAACCCTAAACCCCCAAAACCCTAATCCCTTATCCCCAAGCGCACCTTCTTGGACATCTTGGCATTCTTTTTCTCGCTCTCCGACACAACGGAGATTCGGGGACCTTGGCGGATGGAGCTCGAAGAGGCTACTCCCTATAGGGTTTAGGGTTTAGGGTTTAGGGCTTAGGGTTTAGGGCTTAAGGGTCCAAGGACCCAAATAATAGGGTTGAGGGTTTAGGGCTTAGGATTTAGGGCTTAAGGGTGCAAGGACCCAAACAATAGGGTTTAGGGTTTAGGGCTTAGGGTTTAGGGCTTAAGAGTCCAGACCCAAATCATAGGGCTTAGGGTTTAGGGCTTAATTAAGGGTGCAAGGACCCAAATAATAGGGTTTTAGGGTTTAGGGCTTAAGGGTCCATGGACCAAAATAATGGGGGGTTTAAGGCCCAAATACCATAATATGATTGGTATTTGGGCCCTAAAACCGAACTATTTGAGTCCTTGGACCCTTAGGGCTCTAAACCATTCACCCATGACCGTAAACCCCACCGTGAATTAGGGTTTAGGGTGGTCCTTGAGTAGGGGATATCCGGATATCCCTTAATGTCAGATTAGCAGATTTGAATTCTGGGTATACCTAGATCCCGAAAGCAGGTAAAACAATGACCCATACCTCTTCAATGACTCATACAATACGTTACTAGGGTTTAGGTTTTCCGAAAATATCTTTTGGGATTACAGCGGGGACTGACGCATGGAATCGTGCGTTCATGCTACTATGGTAGACATGGCGGCATGTGGAAGTTCATGGGTGTACGAGTTAGGGTGAGGGTAAAGAGTCAAGAATTTCAAGTTTAGGAGCTGGGGGTTTAGTAGGATTAGGCTAGCCTGCCGGCTTTTGCGTTTCGAGTGCTAGGATGTGGCGTGGTGTAGAAGTCAAGGTGTTCAGGGGTCGTGCTTTCATTCCTGGGTTCTGGAGACAAGGCCTGCACTGGGTGGGGGTTGGCGGATTTGGGGCCTCAGGGTTGGGGCTCTTTGTGTCAAAGAGCCGGAGCCTTAACCCTAAACCCCTACACTCCAGACACTCGAATTCTACACCTCTAGACACTTTAAGCCCCAAAACTCTAATTTCTGAGACCCTTGCAAGTGGGAGGGCTTCAAAACCTGAACCCCTGAACGCTAAACTCTCAATCTCGACTGTCCACTGAGTGTGTTTTTGAAACAAGATTTGCTATGAGCTGCAACAAACCTGTTAAAAGACCGTCTTCAGCTGAGATCCAACTTGCTTCATTCTACATGCGTCCTAGGTTTCTCGCTGATTTCTGAGAACTTGAAAACGAATTTGGTTAAAGGTTGAACGGTCAGTGTTCAGGGTTGGGGGTCCAACTCTTCAGGGAACTCAGGACCTGGAATTTGTGGGGCTGTAGTATACAAAGGTCACGCAGGATTCCTGATATTTACAACATCTTACATAAACCTAATTTCCATCGGGATATGGCAACACGCCACGTTTAGGGTGTAGCTATTGAGTACTTGGACCATCGGGCCGTGCATCGAATCTTTTGCCATAGTTCCTGCTGCCACGTTCCAGGCATCGGACAGAAAACCAAGGTTACAATAGAGCCATGCGAGACACGTGGCGCATCCCCATCTACTTTCTTTGCTGGGTTGTTGCGGATTTCGGTGGGGTTCGTTCGCAGAGATAATCTTCAGGGAAGAACCCTATAAACCCTAAACCGACTATACCCTAAGGGTCCAAGCACCCAAATAATAGGGTTTTAGGGCCCAAACACCATTTATACTATAGTATTTCGGACCTAAAGCCCCATTATTTGGGTCCTTGGACCCTAAACCCTGTATATCCCCCCTATAACCCCTTTAAAGGGACCCTATTATTTGGGTCCATGGACCCTTATAGGAATAGTCTTCCTGCGAGGAAAAGCTAATCGAAGAGCATTGGGTAGGCGGTCGAAAGTATGGTCGTTGTGGGTCCTATGCAGTGCAATACGGCCACAGATATCCAGGCCCTTCAGGGTTTAGGGTTTAGGATTTAGGGTTTAGGGTTTAGGGGTTTGGGCCTCTTCACGAGAAAGCCCTAAACCCTGAACCGGACACGATTTCAAGGCCGGCCGTTTTTTTTATCGCTCGAGTCTCAAGCGTCTGTCTTGCGCACAGGCTACTCAAGCTTACTCGCCTCCTGCAAGAATGTCATTCTGTTTTGTAATCTAGTCAAGTCTGGAGGGAATATGTGCAAATGACTTTGGGCTCCAGGATTACGTTTCTAATCCTAATTGTGATGTACGTAAAAACCATCATTGATTTTTATTGAAGAGGGGATTCTTGATTTTATTGAAACGGGTGTCAAGGCTTCCAAAAGAAAATCGTGTATGGGGAACCATGAAGAGGGTATCCCTTAGACCCAAAAGACCGTCAGGTTTAGGATCCTGTAGTAACATTCTTTATATGAGATCCCCAAACTGAAGGTCTTTGGGGTCTAAGGTCTACCTAAACCCCAAAAGTATGTAAAATAATAGCCCTAAACCCATAATAACCGCCCGAAAGGCCATTATTTTACATACTTTTGGGGTTCAGGTACCTTAGTTGCAAGCTCTGTCTCATCTCCATTCTCAGCAAATATGAGAAAATTCCATCACGGAAAATGGACCCTAAACCCATAAACCCTAGACCCTAACCCCTAACTTCTAAACCCTTCGGGCCTAGGCCTAACACTAAACCCGGATTTAAAGCTGCTTGGACTTTGGAAGTAGACTTACTGTTGGTGGGGCTTAGGGTTCAGGGTTCAGGGCTTGGCTTAGGGTTTAGGCTACACAAGGCATTGAAATTCGTGCGAACCAATGGACAAAGGAGTCTGTTATAGCTTAGGCTCTCTTTTTTAGTATTTGAGATTAGCTTCCAGGGTTTAGATAAAGCCAGGATCCCAAATCATAAGAGCCTGCAAGCTCAGTTTTTCCTGTTGCCCCATACCCACCTGAACTACACACGAAAAGAAGGTCTGATCCTCTACCGCTACTGAGAGGTCAGGGGCGTTCCTACAAGCTCAGCCTGCCCTGAGCCATCAGATCTCGGCCTGAACTGTACAATGAAAACCCTACACTTCAGGGTTTAGGGTTAGCCCTAAGGGCCCAAGTACCCAATAATCATTTGGAATTTCGGTGAGTAATAATCGTAGTGCAGGTTTGGTCATTTCCCTAGAGGGTCCATGTATCCGATATTTAGGACTTGGGACTTGGGTAGTTTTAATTATAGTACAGGTTTTGGGTCAGTGTATGATTATTAGGTACTTGGACCCTTAGGGTTCTTGAAATACTGAGAACTCTAAACCCTAAACCGCCCAAGATTCTCATCCTTGCTACAAGGACACCCCGAGAACCCCTACATTGCTAGAAGCGCCGCTTGTCCTCCCTAAACCCCGAAACCCCAAACCCTAAACCTCAACCCGTAAACCCAAAACCCGTAAACCCTAAACCCTGAACCCTTAAACCCCCACCCCCTAAACCCAAAACCCCAATAAACCCCCTACATTACTCTACGTGGCACTTAGGACCCATACCAAGGGTTAACCCTTAATTAATAGGAAAGAGAGGGAATCCCAAAGGGTTAAGGGTCTAAGGTCCAAGCTAAATCCCAAGGAGTACTATAAGCTCAGCTTGTCCTGAGCCATCAGGTCATCAGCGAAGCAATCTGCGAATTGGAAACCCACGTGGCCGTCGCGGATCAGGACCCCTAGAGGCTATAGGATTTATAGATTTAGGGTTTGAGGTTTAGGGTTTAGGGTTTGAGGTTTAGGGCTTAGGGTTTAGGGTTTAGGGTCTAGGGTTGAGGTTTAGGGTTTTTAGGTTAAGGGTTTGAGGTTTAGGGTCTAGGGTTTAGGGTTTCGGCCGTAGGGCTCCCTTAAGCGGGGCTAGGGGTTATAGGGGTATATAGGGGTTATAGGTGTATATCAGGATAGGGATTCAGGGCGGTTCCCTTGAAGTGGATGTGGGGGTTTTAGCGTTATATAGCAATATATAGGTGGCTTAGGGGGCTAACGGATATAGCGGATCAGGGTTTAGGGCTTAGGTATTTGGGGGGTTAAGGGGTTTCGTCCAATGCCCTAGCGATGCGCCCTAAATGCGGGCCCTAAATTGTAAACCCTAAGTCTGTTTTCTGGGTCCGAACTATGGGCCCTAAATTGGGCTTGTACGGGCTTCTTAAGTCTTCCATACATATACAAGGACCCTACTGTTGATGGATGAAATCTTGCACCACCTAGGGGCCCTAAATTACTGTAATTCCTGGGACTTTAGGGACTTTAGGTGGTGCAGGATTTCTTCCATCAACCGTAGGATTAAGAGCCGACACTACAGGGCCCATAGTTCAAACCTTGGATCACCCGAAGCTCTAATCCCTAAACCCTAACTCCTACACCCTAAGACCGAATCTCCAAACCGTGCATCCCAAACCCGAAGCCCTAAACCCTAAATCCTAAACCCTAAACCCCAAGCCCCAAAATCCCGAAACCCTAAATCCCAACTCCTAAATCCTAAACCCTAAACCTCTAGACCCGCAAACCCCTAAACCCCAACTTCAGGAGGTTTAGCACTCCGGCCTCGCCAGCCGTCGTCGGTCTCCAGGTTTGGAGCCTAAGATCCCAGAGTTTTTTTTTGGGGGGGGGGAGGTAAGGGGATAACGGGGAGGAGTTTGTCGTTTAGGGACATCTATAGATGTAGGATCTCTTTACCTGTAATCCCCCTAGCCCTAGACCTATAATAACAGGAATAGATGTGATTTCGAATCATTCCGGAAGGTTTTAGTCCCTCTGTCCTGAACCTTATGACCTGATAACACAATCCCATATTTATATGCCCAGTCAAGCTATACACCCATTTAGGGGACCTCTACTTCAATAGTGTAGGTCTTTGCGAAACATTTGGGAATCCGTAATTATGGCCTCTGCAGCCTCCATAATCTCGCTGTCCTTGTTCTCCCAATTCGGTAAGCTCCAAACCCTAAAACTTGAACCTTCAACCCCAAACCCTGAACCTTAAACCCCTAAACCCACTGGCCCTTTTTAAGAATCAAGATCTCAGGCAGCAGCCGAATCATCAAACCTGGGTCAAGAACAACAGGGCTTAGGGATTAGGGGTCAGGGTTTAAGGCTTAGGGTGTACCTGGACACCCCCTAAATATGTGGAATATCATCTTTTCCATGGGTTTGGGGTGGGGAGATTATTTTACCTACTTTAATGTTCGGCTGTGGTACCCTGACTCAAAAAGAACATATTGGAATAGCGACATACTAAATAAAGGGGTGGGGTTTAAGGTTTGTGGAGTTTATAGTGTTTACAGGGTCTGGGATTGAGTGTGTCCGGACACAGACTTACATAGAAGAGTGTTGTTTTTGATTTCTTGTTCATGGGTCTTGGCCCTAACCCCTAACCCCTAAACTACTGTTGAGGTCGCGGTAGGGAGCAGGATTCAAGAAACAGGGTTGAGGGGTTTGGGGTTAGGAGATGTGCAGCTTAGCATGATAGGTCTAGGGATTTGTCACGTGAGTTAACAGGCGAGATATGATATAAACTTCTAGCATCCCCCTGAAAAACAGTCCCCTATACAATACCCTGATGAACCCCCTTGAAGGAATTTGGACTCCAGCTCACGTGCTCTGGTTCTTTAATTTGTTTAGTGGCGCGGCTTTCGGGGGGACGGGGGCAGGGTTTAGGGTCTGGGGTTTGGGGGTTTAGCTAGAGGGGTTTGGCTTCTCTTGAGACTCTTTGAGGATCCGGGGAGCAAGCCTTGCTTCTTGCCTCTTCAAGTAATGTTAACCTTGGAAGACACCTGTGAAGCACCTGAAAGCAAAGCAGCTAATTGCTCAACCTATACCAGACCCTGAACCTTCAGGCATGTGCCGCGTGATTTTTTGCAGAAGGGCCCTAACATGCACAATCCTTGCTTGTAAGGCCGGATCCCCTGAATCCAATCCTTAAACTTTTAATCCTGAAAGCCATCGTTCAGGAAGTGATGCGCGCCTTTGAAAACTCTGAAGCCTATATAATTAGATCCTAACCGTCTTAGACACGAGCCTTACGCTGCACGAGGGCTTGGTGCTCAGGGTCTTGGGGCTTTGTACTCAGTCGTTGCCGACAAGAAGGGGTCCCCTCCTACACCCCGAAATTTGAGCGTTCGGGCGTTAGGGTTTATAGGGCTTAGGGCACCCCAGACCCAGAGAAAGATCTCATGTTTTTCGCAATCCTGTACATGTCCCATTATATCCCTATGTAACCTCCATGGCCCCTTTCACGGGAATGGGAGATTCGCATGTTCATCCGAGACGCCTGGACCCTGAACCCTGGAACTTAAGCAATCAAACCCGAGACCTGTAAAGCCTTATGCCTAAACCTTGCACCCTAAACCATGAACCCTGACTGAACCCTAACCCGCCTGATCCCCCACCCCTACAGCCCACAAATCAGAAACCACCCTAAACCCTTAAACCCTGGTCACGAAACCCTAATCCGCAAATTATATGATCCGCGCAGCAAGACCATTCTCTTTGCGGCCACGCCATAGAAATCGGCCTCGAGCTACAAAACTTTCGCCGAACTTTCTGAAGGTCTTGGGAAAAGGGGTGGGGCTTAGGATTGAGGGTTTAGGGTTCAGGTTGGGTTGTCGGTTGAAGGTTTGGAGTTTAGGGTGGGGACTGTACTTAGAGCTTGCCTCCCGGAGGGTCCAAGGACCCAAATGATAGGGTTTTAGGGCGCAAATACCATCAATATTATAGTATGTGGGACCTAAAACCCCGTTATTTGAGTCCTTGGACCCTCAGGGCCTTGAACTTAAACCGACGGTGACAATGCGGTTGAGTGGTTGAAGGAAATCGGGGTAACATAGAGTTTGGGACTTAGGGTTAGGGTTTTAAGGCAACTGGGGTATGGATAGGGTTTAGGGTTTAAGGTTCACGGTTTAGGGCGACTGGGGCAAGGTAGGGTTCAAGGCCACTGGGGTAGGACATGATGATATGGGTATTTGGAGAAGAGTGGTCCACCCTTTACACTCAGTGAGAAGCCACAGGGTTTAGGGTTGAGGGTTTAGGGACACATATTCATGGCCACTACATGTCGACATCCCACACGCACACTCACCCAAAAACAAATGAGACCCATATGCCGTCACCTGAGCCACGTCCGAAATCCCGTTTTCATCGGGAGTCCAAAGGAGACAATTATGCCACCATGCCCTCACTGAAGAAAGAGAGGAAATCCTATATGAAAGCCTATATACCTCAAACATGTCCTTGGAGCCTTGAAGGTCCAAGCAACCACATAAGTATGAGGATTCTCTCAAGAAAGCCTTACCCAGTATACTTCTGAGCTTGTACAGCAAGAATCTTTAACCCTGAGCCCTAAACTCGACACCCCATACCCTCGACCCCAAATCCTAAACCCTAAACCCTCAACCCTAAATCCCAACCCTATAAGCCTTGGCCAAACACGAAAACGATCTATGCCGTAGAAGACGAGCTCATGACTCATGAGGAGATTTGTGGACCGATGGTAGGCTTTGGGGTTTGATATGCATGCTTGAGCTACCAGTAAGGGTCCAAGGACCCAAATAATAGGGGTCCCTTTAAAGGGGTTGTTGGGGGATATCTAGGGTTTAGGGTTTAGGGAATGAAGGGTCCAAGGACCCAAACAATAGGGTTTTAGGGCCCAAATACTATAATATTCATGGTATTTGGGATCCAACACCCTACTATTTGGGTCCTTGGACCCTTGGGGCTGAATTAAGTGCTTAGGAGTGTATACGTTGGGTACTGCTCCCATGCAGTAACAGTCTATATAAGGGGTCCTATTAAGGGCTATATATAACAATAGTATATGTATTATCCGACTGCTACTGAGGGGGGGCAGTACCCAATGTGTACGGTTTAAGATTCAGGAGGTTAAGGTTTAGGACTTTAGGGTCTAGGGCTAAGGGTTTAGGAGTTTAGGGCTTAGCGCCCTCATCTTACTCTGCTGCAGCTCTGACACTCTCAGCTAACAAGATCACTCTTCAGAGCGAGTCCGCTATCCCTAAAGGTCCATGTACCCAATATTTGGGTACTTAGCGTTTTGGTAATAGTAATTATGATACAGGTTTTGGGTAAGTATATGAGCTGGCGTCAAAATTACTTGTCTGTGGTAATGGTGGAAATCATTTAAGGTGCCCCGTGTCGTTTTGCAGTGGTTTTAACATTTTCTACTCATTGAACAACCCTCCTTACGACTGTACAATAACCCCGGCTCATATGATTATTAGGTACTTGGACCCTTGGGGTATATGTGTATATATATATAAAGCCAAAAAAAGTGATCCAGGCATCTCTGTGGAAACCACAAGACAAGATTATGGGGACTACTGCCAACACTCATTTCGAGAACCTTATAAAAACTGTTCCAAGGTTCCGAATATGACTAACAGTCTCTAGAAGTCCGGAACCCTAAACCAGTAACCCTAACCCTAAACTCTAGATCCTAAGTCCTAAATGCTAAACCCTAAATCCTGAAGCCTAAGCCCTAAACCCTGAATCATAATTCTTCAATCCTGACACCCAAACCCTAAATACTAAACCCTAATCAAAGGCTTTCGGGAAACCCGGGTTACCATTTCTGAGGCCGCGACGATCTTCCGCATATGCCAAGTTTTTCCTGACCGCTACGGCTTCAGACAATTTCGCATGAGGCCTTGAGGATAAGGGTTTAGGGCCCCGTTTAAGGCTTGGGATTCAGGGTCTAGGGTGTAGGGTTAAGGGATAAGGTTTGACCTGTAACCCCAATTACCTACAGCTTTATGGGCTATACCTACTAAGTTTCAGCATGCTGCTGCTGGATGGTTAGTATCAAGTGTAACGACGAGTTAACAGGGCAAATTTCAGCGAACTACAGATAGCACGAGCCCCCTAAAGAAGGACGCCGTCAAACGGGTTTCTCATCCTGTTTGGATGCTGCGTGACTTCATTCTTCAGGATTTGAGGCTTGAGGCTTAAGACGCAGAATTTAAGGACGAAGGTTTAGAGTTTAAGGCTGTTTGTCCAGCCTGCGTAGATTCCAATCATGGCCCTTCACCAAACTGGAAGGCCAAGAGGAGACTTACTAAGTTCTGGGGCCGGCGGTCGACGAAAGCATCTTGAGAAATGGTCCTGAACGTTCCTTGTTTTACTACACACACGGATCAGAATGCACTTCGTCACGCCCCTCTCCCCCAACCGTCGGCATATACCCACGAAATATCTGAAGAAGGAAACAGGAAGTTAAGAAGAACTACCGCGGACGTCCGAAGCACTGTAATTCAGGCTTACGCCTTCATGAGCTCTAATCTAGAATGTCCAAGTACCCAAATAAGGGATCTTTAGGTCCCAGGTACCATACAGTAATTTGAGTGAGTTTTGGTAACCAAACCCGAAGATTTAGGTATCTGGACTGTTAGAGTCCCTAAGCCCTAAACCCCAAAACCCTACAGCCTACATAGCCCCCTTTGAGGAGTTTAGACCCTTAAGCCTCAACCGCGTGAAGAATCTCAAGCTCTAAACCCTAAACCCTTAGAGTCCCTAAACCCTAAACCCCAAATAATCCTCTATATAAGCCCTAAACCCTAAACCCTTGGGGTACCTAAACCCTAAACCCCATATAATCCTCTTTATCAGCCAGTGAAGAACCCTCTCGCCTGGCAGCATGGGATCGTCCGCGTGCTCAGGTAGGGACGGGTCGTAGCCGACCATCACCTGCTCCAGGGATATCTATATGAGCCATAGTCTAAACTCCTAGTATCCCCCTTAATATACCCTATAGTAGTCCCCTATATAATCCCTTATGTAACCCCCTTTAAGGAGTTTAGACTATAGCTCATATCATTCGGGTTTAGGGCTTGGGATATGGGATTAAAACCCTAAACCCTAAATCCTAAACCCTAAACCGCGTTCAGGATTCAATGTGTTGGGTTGTTTGTGTTTAGGATGGAGTGGCTTAGGAGTTAGAGTTTAGGGGTTTAGAGTTTAGGGGTTTATGTTTTAGGGTTTAGGGGTCTAGGATTTAGGGTTGAGGGTTTAGGGTTTAGGGTTTAGGGGTCTAGGATTTAGGGTCAGGAATGGCGATCAAAGTATGATTTGAGGCTTAGGAGGTAGGGTTCAGGGTTTAAGGCGTCTGCTTATCTATACCTAACTGTTCAAAGCGACTACCGCGCTCCGTACATTTTGAGTCGTCTATGTTGCCTGAGATCCTGGCCCTGTCAGCCAGAGCCTTTTGTAACTTCATATATGAGGAGGGGAACCCTAAACCCCATAAAACCTAAACCCTGAACCCTTTAAATATGTCCCTAGGAATCCAAGCACACAAATGATAATTACATCGAACCCTAACGTCTGAAAATATTACCTACATTGGGCTATTTGGATCCCTGGGGTGTATCCTGGGAGCCGACAACCGCTTTAGGGTTTAGGGCTTACGGGTTTACGAGTTTAGGTCGGGTACTGCCCCCGCCCAATAACAGTCTAAAATTAGAGGTCCTGTTCAGGGCTATATATAACCATATTATAATGATTATCCAACTGTTACTGAGTGGGGGCAGTACCCACCCCAAACCCTAAACCCTAAAATCCTGAAAACCCTAAGTCCTAAACCCTAAAGCCTAAACCCTAAACCCTGTTTAGGGCTTAAGGGTTTAGGGTCATCCGCTGTGGCCTCGAACTTGGGAAGCGCCTCAGGGCACCAATGCTTGATCAGCTCTGTTGCCTTCGAGAACAGGGTTTCGGGTTTAGGGTTTAGGAGAACTTAGGTGGACCCCCCACCCAGTAATAGTGACTATAATGGATAATAGGGATTATATCAGGGTCCTCTTATATTCCTACTGTACCACTATTACAGGGTGGGGGGGTCCTCCTAAAGGAGAACCTTCTGCATCCCTTTGAGCTTGAACTGGGGTTACGGGTATTTAGGGTCTATAGGGTTTAGGGTAGGTCAATTACTACCCTAAACCCTAAACCTTAATTCCTTGCCATATGTTGTGCTTTGCCCTACCTTGATCTTACAAGATTTTCCCTCCTCAACCTTTACAACTTTATGCCTGGCAGTGCCCATGTCCACCGCTATGATGTAGGGGCCCAAGTGAGCCATAGTCTAAATCCCTAGTATCCCCGTTAATGACCCCTAAAATGCTCCCCAAAGTAATCCCGTATATAACCCCCCTCAAGGAGTAAAGACGATCAGTCAAATGAGTTTAGACGATCGGTCAAATGACCACCAAAATCATGTTGAGCTCTTTTTGAGGCATCCTTTACCCCCTAAAGGAATCTAGGACCATAGTGATGGCAATCATTTGGACGTCCAAATTTCTGGGGCTTTCCCTCCACGACGGGAACATTTTCCAGAAGTCCCTTCAGAGGTATATGAGCTACAGTCTAAACTCCTAGTATCCCCCTTAATATCCCCTATAGTAGTCCCCTATATTGCCCCTATATAACACCCCTTGAAGGAGTTTAGACTATGGCTCATGTGGTTTAGGCTTTAATGTTTTGGTTCGGGGTCTACTGCTTAGTGGTCTGGGCTTCAAACCCTAAATCCTACTTGAAGGTTCATGGGACTTAGTAACTACTTATAACCCTATATACTTATAACCCCACTTATAACCTCCCTAAATGGCCTTATAGGGGTTACCCCAATTATAAGTAGGGTTATAACCCCAGTTATAAATAGTTACTAAGTCCCATGAACCTCCAAGTAGGGCACTTTTCTTTTTACCCTCCAGTCTTTTACGACTGCGACGCGGCGCAGACTTCCTTAAGACCCCCAGCGTTGTATACCTTTCTGCACTTGCTACAGTAACCGTCAACGTGGGGTTTAGGACTTAGGGTTCAGTGTATGGGGTTTAGGGGTGTAACAGAATACCGGGGAGTTTGCGGGTGGACGGCGTGTACTGTTGCAAAAGGGATTCATCGCCCTGCGCTCTCCTACTTATTGGGTTTGGGGATTTGGGGTTTAGGGGCTGAGCGGTTAGGAGCTTCTTAGCCCAAATTACCCTGAAGAAAAAAGGATCCTCTTTACATGAATATGAGGAATCCCATACCTCCAAAAATACAAAGGATCCTTAATATTGATCCAGGTGAGAGTGAGGCTCTTGAGAGATCCACCCTTTGCCTACGCGGATTCGGTTCATGCTTAACCGCTTGAAGCTACTGAGCTCTAGTAGCTGGAGATGAAGCGTTTAGGATTTGGGTTTACAACGACACTTGTACCAATAATTAGTGTCCCTTTCAAGGAATTATGTTATAGGGATATATGTATAATATACAGGGATATACGTTGGGATATTTAGGGCTTATAACTTAAAAGGTTCAGGGTCCATGTACCGAATAAGTAGCTACTCGGGTTTGAGGTCGCAATTACTCTACTACAGGCTTTGTACGGGAATTAAGCGGCTGACCTGAGCTGCAAGACCTTGGTCAAATATGAGCTCCAGAAACCAAACAACTGCAAACGAAGCAACAACAAAAACACACCCTAAACCCTAAACCATTAACCAGATCTGGCATGCGCGTACTATACATGCTCAGAAAACCCATACGGCCACTGGAATTGCCAGATGGAAGCTTGTCAAATTCATGACCTGGCAATATAGTGAGAACGCTCAGTGCTAAACCCTAAAGCCACCAAAACACAGAAAATTGGACAACCATCCATATCATATGAACCATAATCTAAACTCCTAGTATCCCCCTTGATCTGCCCTAAAGCAGTCCCCTATATAATCCCCTATATAACCCCCTTTAAGGAGTTTTAGACTCTAGCTCATATGCATTCAAAAAATACTGGGAGGCAGAGGCCGAGAGTAGGGTTGAGGGCTTAGAGTTTAGGGGTTAATCATGGCTTTTAAGACGTAGCGTTAAGGGTTTAGGGATGATAGGGTTGCCAGGTTGGGGAATTCTCTACCTGATCTGATGCTTTAAGTAGGGAGTGATGGAATGGATCCCCATAGGAGTCGCGACTTAATCTCCTACAATAAACCCAAGACCCTAAACCCTGAACCCTAAACCCAAATTCCCACTATTCACCCCTGGGAAACCTCTCTCCCAGAGCCTAACTCACTATCTCATCCCAGTTCAAAGTTCATTGTCCTTGTGAAGGTTTAGGGTTTAGGGTTCCTGGGATAATATGGTCTTATACCTCCTTATCAAACACACAACGCCTCAAACTGGCAATGTTCTTGATCTGTTGTTCCAGAAGTTTAGGGTTTGGAGTTCAGAGCATTGTGTTTAGGGTTTAGTTTAGGGTTTAGGGTTTGTGGTTAGGGTTTGGGGGTTCGGGTTTAAGGTTCAGGGTTGGTTCAGGGTTATCATAGTGTAGGGCAATTTTTGCCCCATCACCGGTACCAGGCTCCATGGCAAACATCAGCCCCGTGGGCCCTAAACCCTGAACCCTTAAACCCTAAACCCTAGTACCTATGGAACTCTACAGACATTCACTGCGAGCGAAGCCCAAACATTAAACACCTAAACCCTAAACAAACCCTAAATCAAAACATAAGCCTGAAACTTGGAACCCCAAGACCCGATGCTCAGCTCTCGACAAGATCAGGTCCCAAGATGTGCGTCCTTCAGCAAAGGGCACGCATACGGTGCAAAGGTTAAGCTTTAGAATTGAGAGCTTACAGTTCTGCATGGAGGGTTTAGGATTTAGGGTCTAGGATCACCCTAACCCCGAAACCCCAAAACCTCAGAGAGTTGACATTAGATATGGGGCTATACATGGCTATGATAGAAGTAAATATGGTCCTCATTTTGGTCATCGTATTTGCGGCAGTTACTAGGCGGCGCTATATCCTCAGATTCGCTGCTGAACCAGCGTCCATTTGGTAGGATATCAACACAATGCTCGCCTTTTGGGTACGACTTGTACTACAGACTACAGCCCTCGATATTTAGGGTACCCAAACAGGGACCATGTTACCTAAACCCTGAACCCTAAACCCCTAAACCATAAATCCTAAACGCTTCCATCCACGAGGACACCCCTTTCAGAACAGAACCAGATCCTGCTGCCAAGAGAAGGGACAGGGATTAGAGTTTAGGTTCGTTTAGGGTTTAGGTTGGGTACTGCCCCCACCCAGTAACAGTCTATATTAGAGGTCCTATTAAGGGCGCTATATAACCATATTTTGAATATTATCCAACTGTTACTGAGGGGGGGCAGTAACCAAGGTTTCGGGTTTCGGGTTTAGAGTTTAGGGTTTAGAGCTGAGAGTTTAGAGTTTAGGTTTACTGTAGGGTGTAGGGACCCAGGCCATACCTACAGTCTGGACACATTCTACAAAGAAGTCTTGTGGCTAAACAAAGTACCTCTGAAAAGAGCGTTGTACCAACCTTTTTGTGGCGTCTTTGCTATATTCCGGGTGTATATTCCTGGGCGCAAGGCAGCTTAGCTTTAGGGTTCTGGATCAGGGTGATCTTGAAACAACTGCAAAACTTCCAGGAGTTAGCGTTAGGGAAAAAGATCTCTTGTTTGATTGTTAGGATTCACTCTTCTGACTCTCAAAGTGGCTGTGCTTGCATGTTTGGGGGTTAGGGCTCAGGGTAGGGCTTACGTGACTCTAGCCGATTCATCCAAGAGCTCCGAAACTCAACAAAACTACTTAAGCTTAGGCCCCGCAGCCCTGGACCAGAAAAAAGAGAATGAAGCCTGAAACCTATACATGTCACGGCTTCATGCAGGTTTAGGGTCACATTCAAACCCCAAATCCTGGTGCACACTGAGGTATTTGAAGCCTCAACGACTCTCGACTAGACCCTGACGAATACTTCCTTGGTAGCTCGGGCGGCCTGGAAACGACGCTCCACAATGTGCCCCGCAAGCCCCAAATCCTGAACCATGAACCCTTCACCCTAAACCAAAGCCTTAAGCCTTACAAACCCTCAACTGTAAAGCCGAAGCCATCAAACATTGGGGGTTTGGGGTTTGGGGGTTTGGGGTGTAGGGCCATAAACCCTGAACCATGCACCCCAAATCCCTGAACCCCCAAACCCCTAAACCCCTAGACCCCAAACCCTATACCCAAAACAAGTCCCTAAGCAAACCTATAACCCTAGACCTGTAATTTTTATGAACCCCTTCATATTTCATGCTTTTTCTTCTTGATATAAATGCAGATATCTCCATATGCGTATCGGTGTATCCCTACGTACTCTACAAGCCCTAGACTTAAACCACAAACCCTAAACCCTACCTAAACAACAAAAATATGTATAATAGCCCTAAACCCATAGTAATAGCCCAAAAGGCCATGATTTTACATACTTTCGGGGTTCAGGTAGAGATCCTTCACCATCATCACTCTGAGGTCCCCGCTCGTGGCTCTGACCCTCAAGATTGTACTCCTCAGGGTCGCCTTGGCAGGAGTATCACCGCCCCTAAGTTAAAAGGATCCTAACCCAGACCCATGATTAATAAACCCCCTCCCCATAATTGAGATTATGATAGGGCTCCTAATATTAAGACCCTTAAAAGGAGGGGGTTTATTAATCATAGGCCTACATTAGGACTAAGAGGTTTAGGTTTAGCTAGGGTAACTAATGTACTTAAAAAGAGCTTTGTAGCTGAAACTATGGAATCTTTACCTCCCGTTTAAGGTATAAGGTTCCTCAAGATAGGTGTTAGAGTTTGGAGGTTTTAGGATGAATAAGGGTTTAGGACTTGGAGGTTCGGGGTCGACGGTAGGGCTAAAGGTATAGGGCTTAGGGTACAATAGGAGAGTGTATTTTCATTCAGGGTAAAATCTCAGGAGCCTATGCTTACCTGAATCCCAAAAGTATGCAAAATAACAGCCTTTCGGGCTATTATTATGGGTTTAGGGTTATTATTTTACATACTCTTTAAACTCCTAGTATCTCCCTTAATAACCCCTGTAGTGGTCCCCTATATAATCCCTATATTAGCCCCACTTTAAGGAGTTTAGACCCCAAACCAGAAGCCCTGAACCCTAGGCAATAAACCCACAAAACCCAGAAGTAAGGCCAAACCCTGGGCTAGAAAACATCAAACCACAAGCCCTAGACCCTGAGCCCTAAGAACCATACACCCTAAATCTTAAGCCTTGAACCCTGAACCCGAAACCTAAACCCATAAACCTGAAGCGCCCGACCTGAACCCCAGAACCCTAAACCCCTAAACCCCTAAACCCTAAACCCTGAACCTCTACATCCCTAAATCCACTAAACCTTAAACCCCGAAACCCGAAGCACCTAGCCCAAATTCTTGCGGCTCAGGGCGCTGTTGGTTGCCACGGCGAGGCGCAAATCCTCTGGATTCGGGGGTTAAGGGGGTTTTGGGTTTAGGGCTTGGGGTGTAGGGTTTTGGGTTTGGGGCTCAGGGTTTAGGGCTCCGGGCGTGCGGGTTAGGATTAGTTGTAGAATTTGTTAAGGGATTAAGGCTTGGGGTGTGTGTGTACATAGATATATGTAATTATTTGTACATGGGACCATATAACCTACAACCCTGCATCGTGTTGCTAAACTGGACTAGCCTCATTCCAGAGATATGATGTACTTCGCTTATGGTCACGGGCGACATGTAGTATCAACCGCATGCAGGACTTGCTAGCCCAGGTAAAACCATGGGTCCCGTAAATTACCGTCCGGATCCAACAAACTCCACCCACCCCCAAACAAGCATGGAACCTGCTTAGGGTTTAGGGATCCTACATAGACTATAGGTTCGGTCTGTGCGGAACCGTCTATGTAGGATCCTCTTAGTTTCCTACTATACCACTATGACAGGGTGGGGATACACCTAAACTATAATCTCTTTTCAAAGGGCGTCTATGTCGGGCTCCCTGCCCCCCCCCCCTAGTTCCCTGTCAATGCCAATTTGGACCCCAAACCCCAAACCCTAAACCCTAATCCCAACACCCTGAACCCTAAACTCTGGGGGAAGATTGTGGCATGGTGTCGGGGTAGTGTAGCCAGGGACTCCATAAACTGAGCAGGCCAAGTGTCCCGAGAAGCCTCAAACGTCAACCCAATATTCATGGGTTGCCCTACTGCACCCCGTATATTACGACCCCCCCCCCCGGATTCAAGGGCAACTAAGCCTAGTAAAGGTTAATTAAGGAGAAACCTGGGGGGAGCCATTGTGGTATATTATAGTATACCGGGAGTTTTCAATATTAGTGGGGGGGGGTTATAGCCCTGAACCCTAAGCCCTGAGAAAAAGGTTCCAACTGGCAACGTAGGTACTTGTTAAAACCACTAGGGACAATATATAGGTATCTGAAGACTTCGAGCTGGAGGGTCAACCTGAAACGATTTTAAGCCCTTAGTCACTTCTGGATAGCGGCGGCCTGATAACAATCAACAAAATGAGGAAAATAGTGAGTATGCAAAAACCCAGGCCCCATGGCAGTCCCTTCTGTAGCCCTAAGCCCTACGTCCTAAGCCCTAAACCCTTAACCCTCGAAATCTGACACAAGTCAGAACCACATTAGCCCAGTGTCCGGCTCTGCGGCTAGAAGTCGCAATGCCTGGCTTTATGAATGGAGATCTAAGTATACGGTTAGGGTTTAGGTTAGGGTTTGGGGTTTAGGGTAACGAAAGGGCTTTGGTTTACGGTTTAGGTTCTGGGGTCCAAAGTAGCTAAAACTTTAGCCCAAGACCCCTAGAAATAGCCCAAGAGGCCATTATTGCACATACTTTTGGGGTTCAGGTAATGAAAGGATTTAGGTTTAGGTTTAGGGTTTATAAAGTTTGGGGTCTAGGGTTTCAGGGCGTCGGGGAAATGACAAGACCCCTAAACCCTAAACCCTAAACCCTAAACCCGGTAAGCCCAACCGCCCTAAAAGTCAGTTCCAATTGCATCAATGATTCTTATAGGGTCCTTATTCTAGGGGGCTGGAGTTAGCAAAATCTCGTGACCCTAAACCCTAGAACCCTATAAACCCTAAACCCTTAAACCCTTAACCCTTAAACCCTAAATCCTAAACCCTGAATCCTGAACCTAACCCCTAAACCCAAAATCCTAAACCCTAAACCCTATTGAGGGTATATGTATACGTCTCAGGACGGAAGCCCTAAATAGGGAGCAATCGGATTGAGGGTCAGAAAAGAGCTGGGAATTCTGGGATACGGTTTGGGTTTAGGGGTGTAGGGTTTAGGTTTCGATGCATGGAGAGTACAACAAAGCGTCACGGGGAGTCAGAATTTCATGGGCATACTCTTGACAACTTCCCACGTGCATGAATAATCGCACGATAGAGGCACCCCAATGCTTCATGATTTCTGTGATGGTCTCAGGGTCGAAGGACCTAACTGCATGGGATCAAATTTGGGCCCCAGGGGGCTCCCATGGAGATACCCGAGTGATATGCTAATTGGATACGTGGACCCTTTGGGAAACAGAGTTTGAGTTTAGAGCTTACGGATACACAGTTGTAGAGGCCCGAATTGGCACTTACCATTGTATCCACACATGAATCTTGTGGGCGATGATTTAAAAATGCGCGCCAAAACCTGTTCAAACTATTCAGGCCCTAATTCATTATCCATAGCAGCCCCGAAAGACCTGGTAGAACCATCGTGAGATTCGCCCCGAAGCCCTGTCCTAGCTGGCCCCTACCCAGACCCCTCAAAGGATCTAGAAGTAGAACCTCCATTATAGTACCCTAAACTACTACTGGGTAATTCCTAGGAACCCTTAAGGGGGATCTACTTTCTAGATCCGCCCAGGGTCTGGGTATGACCCATGGAGTACAGGGTGGGGTCACCTCCCTAGGGTCTCTCAAAATGAGGACGTGGTTTAGGGTTTAGGGTTTAAGGGTTTAGGGTTTAGGGTGAGGGGCCTCAGAGACCCTCGGGGGGTGATATACGGGATCAGCGTCAACGCTGAGAATCTCCAAGAAACGACATAAATCCCAAAGCTACAACAAAAAAGCTAGCGGAGCCATATCTTCGTCAGAGCCCACCGATTACCCAACTCAATGACGGTACAGCTCCCCCTGCTTGTAGAGAAGCCTAAATAGTTTGCGTTTTTAGGCTTTCCCGTGAGGATTCACATGGGAGTTTTATCACCGGTACTACCACTCTACCCTAAGCCCGAAACTCTAAAACGCAGCTGAACCATCTTTAGCAATGTACACGTGTAGTCTGCATCCAGCGATGTACATTGGACTGAGCTTGGAAAAGTGTATCAGGACTAGCGAACAAGTCGAAAGCTACCTGCTCCAAAGCTAAACACTGCACCCTAAACGCTCATTCCTAAACCCGAATCCCTCAACCCCCAAACCCTAAACCCTGAACCCAAAACTACCCTAAACCCTAAATCCTAAACCCTGATCCCCATAGTTTCCATTATATTTTCCATTCTCCCAATATAACCTTAATATAACCCTAATATACCCCTAATATAACCCTAGTATAATCTAATATAGCCCTAATAAAGCCCTAATATAACCACCCTGATCCCTAAACCTGAACCCTAAGCCCTAAACCCTAAACCTGAACCCTAAACCCTAAGCCCTGAACCCTAAACCCTAAACCCTAAACCTGAACCCTATACCCTAAACCCTCTTCTTGGCCTCTACAAAGTCAGGACTCGCTCCGGCAATGTACTCGGGGGCTGCTTCCTTTCCACTTCTGTAGCGTAAGAGGATTCAGGGTTTAGGGCTTATAGGGTTTAGGGTTTACCCAAACCCCAAAAGTATGTAAAATAATGGCCCTTATGGCTGTTATTATGGGTTTAAGGCTATCATTTTACATGCTTTTGAGGTTTAGGTAGGAGTTTCGGGACTAAGGGCAAACTTGAGGTTTAGAGCTTCAGGGTTTAGGGCTTATAGGGCCTTTGGGTGAAGGGTTTAGGGCTGACTGGCGCATCTGTCCGTTGAAGAACACTGTGGAATCTTTCTGTGGCTACATGGGGGAACTCCCCTGGACCTCCAGTTACAGTACCCTGAACAATGGGTTCTGGAACCTATATTATACCCTAAGGGTCCTTAATATGGAGGGCACCCACAAAGAGGATCATAGTTCTAGCAACCTTCCATGTGCGGGTGAAAAGGTTGCTCCGGTTCACGGTTAACGTCTACTGAGACACTGCGGCAGACAGACCCTAAACCCCCCAAACCGGGTGTAGGGCTTTGAGGGCTTGTGGGTCAGAGTTGGGTCCTGCCTGTTAAGAGTGCCCTGTACTCCCCCCAACAGAAAAGAACAGACTTCAGGCCACAGTGCTGGCCTCCCTGTCGTAAGTTGTATATTGTTTTGTCTTAAATAACGCACTATTAGTGATTATTACTGGTCAGAATTACGACTAGTATTCGTCTTATCTGTACTATTCTACCAAGATGTCAAGCTGTGATCGATTGCATGAGAAGAGCCAGGGGCCACGTGCAGAACCTTCTTGACCGGCACTTTGGGGTGTGTGGACTTACTTGATTGCTGAAGCACAGGTATGAGTGAATACGGTGACTCCTCCAGAAACATACATCCTAACTGATATAGGGGTCATACATGGCCTTAGATGGGTTGCATGACTTTTGTGTCTCACACGTATAAGCTATAGTCCAAACTCCTAGTATCCCCCCTTAATAACCTCTGTGATACTCCTCTATATAATCCCCCATATAACCTGCTTTAAGGAGTTTAGACTATGGCTGACATGTTTCCCTGCATTGTGTCTGTGTCGCTTGGATACTTCTAGCTCTGAACCTGAAAACCTAAACCCCCAAACGGGTTTAGGGTTTAGGACAGCGCATCAGACCCTTAGCATGAATCCTTGCACTACTTTCGAGCTTACATCCAAACTGTAGAAACGCACAGTTGAACCTAGTAAGATCATGTTCAGTAAAGAAAATGCCATACCCCAAAAAAGAAGATATGATCTTACTCTATATAAGCTCTAGTCTAAAGTCTAAACTCCTCATATCCCCCTTAATATAGTAGCCCCCTATGTAATCCCCTCAAGGAGTTTAGACTGTAGCTCATATGGTGGACCATAGTATCCCCAAACAAACCACTACTCAAGTGTTCCCTGGCCCAGGGGTCTAATAGAAGCTTGCGGTGTATGGCTGGCCACGGGCAATTCTCGAGGTTCTCGCTCCGCATGCCCTAAACCCTAGACCTGAAACCCTGAACCTCTAAACCCCTAAACCCCTGTACCCCTAACCCCTGAGCCCCTGAACTCTGACTGCAGGAGGCTATGGTGAGAAATTCGCTCGTCACAAGCCTTCGCTCTTTCAGTGCGTGCAAACGCTGGGCAGGAAACCAATCAGAAACAGAACATATGCTCCAAAAACTACCACTTCCTGTGTACTTATCCACAAGACGTTTCATTTGGGAACAGCTACGCCTTCAATTTCTGGCTGTCTGCCAACGGGTCCATAAAGCGCTACAATACATACCTGGGCCCAAAGTTGCGATATGGGAACGTTTTGGGTCCTAAGTATATACTATATAGCGACATGAACCCTTTGGGCTTGGCTGCCCAGGACCCTCCTAAACCCTAAACCCGTCCTTTAAAATGCCGCCGCCGCAGTGACCAGAGCCCATGGTGCAGTCCTGCATACAACTGGATGTCTCCCAAGGTGGGGCCTCAGAAATATACGCTTTAGGACTTAGTGTGTACCTCAACCCCAAAAGTATGTAGAATAATTGCCTTTTGGGCTATATTTAGGTGTTTTGGGCTATTATTTAACCTACTTTTGGGGTTCAGGTAGGGTTATCCAGCGCTGGACAAGGATAACAGATGGAATGTTGGGTCCTCATTTCGCAAAAATGAGCCATAGTCTAAACTCCTAGTATCCCCCTTAATAATCCCAATAGTAGTGCCCTACATAATCCCATATATAACCCCCCTTTAAGGAGTTTAGACTATAACTCATATGAAGAATTATTTTGAAGAACTCCGACACCCAAAAAGGTTCCCTAAACCCTCAAACCTACTGTGTTGGCCTCTAAAGCCCTTTGAAAAATATTAGTATATAGGGTTTCTTATTAAAGCCATTAGGGAAATTACTAAATATTTCAGGGGCCTACCCAGCCTAATGGTCTAGAGCTTCTGCCCTTTTTCCCAGGTGCAAGGCGCGATCTTGAGCCCATCAGCACCGACAAAGCTATCCTACATGGATTTTGATATGCTACCTTTGCACGCCTAAGGAGTTTATGGGCCATTCCTTTTCGCAAAAGAGAATGGTGCTCCGAACCCTACATCCAAAACCCTAGGATGCTCCGGTAGCTTTGCGAAACTGACTTATAATATAGCGCTCAGGCTTATTTGGGCTTAGGGTTTCAGTGAAGATTCTACAGTTACCTGGACCCTGAGGGGCTACCTGCAGAAATCCACATCACCCCTGCATGAAACGATTGAAGCATCCATCAAACTTGACTGGGCTCCGGTCCATGTCAAACACAACGACATCCACCTGGCCGCATGCAAAGCTGCTTAAAGGCTTAGGGTTTGGGCTTTAGGGTTCTTTGAAAGGCCAAGTCAGTGTCAGCGTCAGCAGAAACTATTCGTAGTGGCTGTGACGGCAGCAGCGGCAGAGGGAGGAGAAGGAAGACCTATCGTAGACATGAATGTGAAGAAAAGTGACGCAATTATCAATGTTTTGCTTACGCGGATATAAACATGTGTGTACCTTTTTCTGTGGAGATGTGCCGCGGAGCTGAAGCTCTAAGGCTCCACAGCCAGAATCCTTTCGCCTTAAGCCCAGCACTCAAATTTCACAAATATCTAAATATGGGTTGCTGTTGAAAAACTTGAATCCCCTTGCACAATGTGGGTATCTAGGTTCCCCTGTAACCCCTTAATAATAAGGGTACCCTTTTTCCTACTATTCAGCCTTAATAAGGAGACCCCCCATTAAAAAGGGAACAAGGGTACTACTGGGGTACCTGGGTATGTAGCAACTGATAGGGCTTCCTGAATCTATGTTCCTTCACAGCAACCCAGAAATCGAAGCCTAAAATCTGCAGCCTACGCCCTAACCCTACCACTATGGGCTATTAGACGTTAAGGGTACCTTAATCTACCCTTAATAGGGTCCTAATGGGAATTTTCGGGTCCAATAGCCCATAGTGGTAAACCCTACTCCCTAAACCCATCCCCTACAAGAATATCCAAGTGTCTCTACTCTGCCTCGACACATTTTTTTTTCAAGTGAAGCCGGCCTTCTAAGTCCGAAGCCCCTGCAACGCAGGCCGCCCCCCTCCGCGCCAAACCCAAATGATCCATGTAGGGATATAGTATAGGGTTTAGGGCTTAGGGCCCAGGGATCAGGGGAGGGATATCATATATACTTGGGGCCCAATGGGTTCTCCATGGAACTACTTTAGGGATTCAGTATGTACTTTATAGCTACATGGACCCTTTGGGAAAATCACTGCAGGTGCGAACCTTTCCAAAACAATCCATGTATCGGCACTCAGCACGATGAAGAACACAGAAACCCTAAACCCCAAGATTGGAGGCGCCCCTCTGAAACAATTCTGCTGATGGAGGACATCTTGCACCCTTGGCCTGCTAATCTCAAGTAAGCTGGGTGGTTGTTAAGGAACTTAAAATAAGTTACCACAATATGGGAACATAGTGAATAATAGGGTCTCCTTAATATAGTAACTGAATCTAAGTTCCCTAACAGCAACTCAGTAATTCCTAAGACTTTCGGAACCTGAGGTGTGTGCAAGATTCCCTCCATCCACTTGTCTGTCTCGGTTTGCGGGCCATTGAAAGTTGTTGCAAGGTCCCTTACTCTGTGAAATCCTAAGCCACCCCACGCACTAAGCCCTAAATGTAAAAACCCTCGACGCTAAACCCTAAAACCTGAGCCCAAAACAAACTATCTACGTAAAACCCTATACAATACATACATAACCTTTCTACATAATCCCTTATAACCCCTTATATGAACCCTGAAACTAAAATCCAAACATTCCCAGCACCAAAACCCACAGGTAGGTACGACAATGAGCCACAACACCTTTAAACAGCCAGAAGGCCATTGTTATTCTTCAAGGTCTGAACCGTAAATCCCCTCAACCCCAAACCCTAAATGCCGTAAATGCTAAACCACCTGAACCCAAAGTTCCCTAAACCCTAACCCCTCTAAACCCGAAGTTCCCTAAGTTCCGTAAACCGTAAACCCTAAGCGTAAGCCACTGGCGCCTCGATTTTACGAAGCCAGTCCAAGAAGCGTTGTCCATTGGCAGAGGGCTGGGCGAGGGGGTTTCAGGTAGGGAGATTGAGCGGGATGTATAGAGTTTAGGAGTTTGGGGTTCAAAAGTCCAGGGCTTAAGAGGTTAGGGTTTCGGATTAAAAGGTATCTGGACCCTTTAGATTTACAATGTCCGGTAGAAATCGTTTCTTTGACAGGTAGGCAAGTTGCTTCAGTTGGGGCCAGTGCTGCAAAACTTTGATTGCGAAGCAAAAGGTTTTAGGTCTACAGCTAGGTAGACACATGCCAGAACTGTAATGTGATCTATAATGCCAATGATCACAACCCGTATGATACCGTAAACCATAAACCCTATCTAGCTAAGTTAGAGGGTTTAGGCTATAGAAATGAAGGTCTATCCGAAGCAACCATCATACCGGTAGACAAAGGAGGTTAGGGTTTAGGGTGTAGGCTTTAGGGGATTGTACCTACAACGTTTGTATCTTCATCTTTTCCCTAGGCAAAAGGCTTGTGTAGGTATGAGCTATCATCATGAGAATTTTGGTTGGTCAGGAACAGGGCGGGGCACCCCTAGTTACATGACTGAGGTGGACTTTCTAGCTATATGTAGGTTACATGCAAGTGAACTGTCCTATGGATGAATATGGTTATAACATGTTAGAACTCGCATGAAGTTTAGCTATGGCGGGTAGCATGGTTGCGAAGTTTGGGTGTAAAGAGTGATGCGCGTTTTGTTCCACCATCAATGCTTCAAGACGGCGCCGTCTAGGCCACGGAGAGTTAATCAGCATATACGTTGGGCACAAGCACGGTATAGGAAATCATGTTTTGTTCCAACTTATGTGCTAGTGAGGTACTTGGGTTGGGCTCCTTCGATGTCGCCTGAAATCAGAAATCAGAAGTCAGACGTGGACCTTCAACCTTTAACCCTAAACCCCTAAACCCCTTAACCCTTAACCCTACACCTTACACCCAATCCCTAAACCCCTAAACCCTAAACCCTACACCCTTAACCCTGAACCCTTAGGGCATGCTCTGAAACTTTCTGACCACTTCTGTGGTGGTCATCCGGACATTCGGAGGTCAACCGGGCCCCAAATCCCAGGCGCTCCACCCCAAATCCTATAGCCCCAAAAACCTAGGCCAGCAGCCCCACAAACTCAACCTCGGAAACCCAAACCCTTGAAGGCCCAGAGGGTCCAGATATACAACTATTAGGGAATCAGGCCCCAAAATACTATATTATAGAAGGAAGTTTGGGTTGTATATATGGACCCTCTGGGAGGTATAAGGTTGACAGCTTCGCGTTTAGAACGTAGGGTTTGGGTTTCGGGTTCGGGCATGTAGAGTTTAAGGATTGCAGACTTTTCAGGAGAAGTAATGGACCGTGAAGCCCAAGTGTAAGAGCCGACCAACACCCTGAGAACACACTCAACTCTTCAGGCCTCAGTAAAGGGCGCCTGTGATTATCATTGTTGCTGACTATCCTTGCTTTTAACTACCATACTGTAATATGAGCAGTAGCTGGAGAACTGCTCCTGCCGCAACTAGTACGACTAGGACTACTGCTGCTATCATCACGATTCTGACCTACGTTGCTAGTTATCCTGCTATTTTGCAAAACATGCTCAACTGCCGAAGAGAAATCACACTCGCCGCAAAATCCACAAGTCCTGTCTCGAATATCTTAAGTCCGTACAAGAGGCGCCCTGAATATATTCGTTGGGCTTTAAGTGGGTTGCAATATATGAGCCATAGCCAAAACTGCAAGTATCCCCCTTAATGACCCGTATAATACTCCCCTGTAAAATACCTTGTTTAACCGGTTTTTGAGGACCCTAAACCCTAAATGCTAAACCCTAGACCTTTTATAACCCCCTTTAAGGACTTTAGACCATAGCTCATATGGAAAAGTACAGTATGGTTCTAAGTCCCATGAAGTGTATTTTCTATCAGCTCAATCGTGCCGGGGAAAGGCGAGGATGAGCCGCATATAGAATTCATGGCTAAGGGTTTAGGGTTTAGGGTCTCATCGCCCAGCTGGTTAAACCCTCTTTCATGATGAGCAACAGAGGGGCTTCAAACATCGAATACGTTGACGAAGGATCCTGCGTACCTGTATAGGGAATACTAACCC